GGGGGGGGGGGGTTGGGAGAAAGAGGTTAATGACCATAGGATTGAATAGACTAAAATAGGATAGAATGGATTGAAAAAAAAATTTTTTTTTATATGTATTAGGTAATTAGCCATTAGTATGGAAAGAGGTGAAAAAAATGAAAAAAAAAAAAAAAATAAATAAATAAAATAAAATGTCTAAGTGCAGGTAAGAACACCAATACCAATCAAAGAGTTGACTAGAATCCGAGTAGTATCCCTACTGTAGATACTGTCGTTCATTTGTATAGTATTAAATATATTAATCAGTAGTTTCACTAGCAACCTTTGTGGCTTCCCTTGGTGTTAAGACCCACATGCCCCACTACTACTGGATGTACTTGGGAGTTGGGCTAGTGTGACTGTATTTGCTTCACCAGACATCTTACTACTATTAAAAGTTAATAAAGTTAATAAAGCAGTTAAGAGCTCAGGCATATTAGGGCTTTTTGGGAGAGGGAAGATAGGTCAAAAATCACATTTTGAATAAATGGGCTTGTATATACTCCACAACAATGAGATTCTTAATATTTCAACAACTAAATATGGATGATGTTACATAGTTACATGACTCACAGAGAATAAACAAAAATCCCTAATTGCATTCACTGGCCAATTTGGATAATATCACACAGTTGGGTTCCATACGAATCTGTCTGGAATACTACAGAAATTGGGAGATGAAAATATTTTTTTATCAAAGCCCACCTTTGTTCTTGGCTACCACAGGATTCCAGATGCTCCTTTATATCGGTATATGTTTCCAAACCTTGCAATGTATACATTGCACTTGACAGGCCATTGTGGGATTAGCCCTTAATCCTCTTACCTACCAACCGCGCTCGACTTATAAATATCCTGATGCAATTATGCAACAGTTCCGTTGACCTCAGGCCTTGCTCCTGTGAGTTCCTCTTCCCATTAAATGTATAGCTTGAAATATATACTTGGCCTCCACTCTTCCTTTCGCCTCCGATAATCGCACATGGTGTCAGGAGTTGGATCCTACAGCAGGAACAAGAAGTAGCAGAAAAGAAAGTTGTTTCAGACCTCATTTCACATCGCTTCAATGAATTCAAACGCTCAAGATCCAAACGAAGAAATATTCAAGGAATCAAGCACGCCAGTCACGTCACCACCCACAGACCCAGTGGAACCGAGTTCTTCAACGGCTTCATTACAGATGGATAGCCCACAAAGTGGATGCGTAAAAATGGCCGCAGCAAATTACAATATTCCTCCTCCGGCTAAGTTTGATCCCAAAACAGACGATTGGGACCACTGGATAAAGTGCTATGAGTTATTTAAAGCAGCTACGGAACGTGATGGGCTGTCAGATAAAGTGCTCATTAATACGCTTATTTACGTAATGGGAAATAATGCCGCCGACATCTATGATAGTTTCAAACTGTCAGGTGAAGATATCCAGTACACGAATGTCAAACAAAAATTCAAAGATCATTTTAAAGGAAAAGTTGCTTTAGTCTTCGAGAGAACACAGTTCGTAAGACACTTTCAGCAAGACAAAGAATCTGTCCTCACCCTCATTGAAGATCTTCAGAGGAGAGCCGACCTCTGGTCTTTTGGGGACCTTCGTGACCAAATGGTGCACACTCAAATAATTGCTGGTTTGCGTGATTCTCATCTCAGGTGTCGATTGATGGCGAATGACAATTTAACTCTGGATCAGGTAATTAAAGAGGTTAAATCTGCCGAAATCACTAAACATCAAGATCAAATTTTTCAAAACCCCTCAAGTGCCGCTGATATATCGGCAATACATGACAGGAAAGTTCCAGAAAACAGACGTCAAAGTCCAAAACCCAAGCATTATGGAGTTTCTTCGAAAGCAAAGAAAAAATCGTGTTACAGATGTGGAGCTCAGCCAGGTCACCCTCCTCAGCGTTGCCCAGCCAAAGATGCTACCTCCAATGCATGCAACAAAAAGGGTCATTATTCCAAGGTCTGCAAATCCTCAAAACAAGTCCATAGAGTTAATGATGATTCGGAAGAAGATGATATCTCTGTAATGACCGTCAACGAAGTCGTCAACACAATCGAAACATCGGAGAAATGGCGTACAAATCTATCGATAGGAAACTCCGAAGTAAATTTCAAGATTGTTACCGGCGCGGATGTCACAGTTATTCCTAAACAAGTCTTTCGCAAATGCGACTTAGGAAAACTACATTACAGCTCCAAAAGACTCTTTGGAGCGGATCACAAGGGTCTCTATGTAATAGGGACAATTTGTGACACTTTATCCCTGGGAGAAAAGAGCGTGACCGAAGATATTTATGTTATTAAAGGCCTAAAAGAGCCTCTTCTGGGGCAGCCAGCGATTCAAAAGTTAAATCTATTGGCTTGAATCAATGAAGTCCAAAGTCAAAGCTTCGAAGAAAGTATTAAAGGGAAATATCCTCAACTGTTCCATGGAGTGGGAGAACTTGAGGGAGAACATGAAATCAAGTTGAAGTCAGATGCTCAACCGTTTGCCATCATGACCCCAAGACGTGTTCCATTAACATTGAAAAGAAAAGTAAAGGAAGGGCTTGCCCGAATAGAGAAGCTGGGAGTAATCAGAAAGGTTGACAAGCCTACAAATTGGTGCGCTGGAATGGTGACAGTATCTAAACCAAATGGGAAAATCCAAATATGTGTGGATCTGACAAAGCTCAATGAAAACGTCTGCCGTGAAACGTATCCACTTCCAAAGATTGAAGCCTTGCTAGGTGAAATTGGAGAGTCCACAGTGTTCACAAAAATTGACGCAAATTCCGGTTTTTGGCAGGAGAAGCTAGCAGAAAACTCTCAACTCCTGACCACATTTCTGACTTTCTTTGGCAGATATTGTTTTCAGCAACTCCCCTTCGGTTTGAAATCAGCACCAAAACGATTCCAAAAGAGAATGCCAAACGAGCTGGAAGGTTTAGAAGGAGTCATATGCATTATGGATGACATCCTCGTGCATGGAAAGACGCAAAAACAACATGATGAACGACTTGACGCAGTTTTAACAAGATTGATCAGAGCAAGAATCACCTTGAACCCAGAGAAGTGCGAATTTTCAAGGAAACAATTGAAGTTCGCTGGCCATAGTCTCAGTGCTCAAGGAATAGGCCCCGATCCAGACAAAGACTGCAGCTATTGAAAAGATGGAGAAACCGCAAAATGTTGCAGAACTACGGAGATTCCTGGGAATGATCAACCACCAACAAAAGCTCATCGAAAATCTGTCTGAGAAGACTATGCGTCTTCGCAATCTTCTTTCAAGCAAGAACGAATGGCACTGGAGTCAAGCTCAAGAAGAATCTTTCACTCGCTTGAAGAAAGAAATGGCTCAAGCGCCAGTTCTTGCTCATTACTGCTCCAATAAAGAAACTATTATATCTGCAGACGCGTCGTTGTATGGATTAGGAGCAGTCCTCTTACAAGTCCAAGAAGATGACTCAAAGAAGCCAAGCGCCTTCGCTTCGCGCTCTACGACGTCTACGGAACAAAGATACGCTCAAATAGAGAAAGAAGCACTCGCAACTCCTTGGGCTTGTGAAAAGTTTGCAGACTTTGTCCTCGATAAAGAGTTCCTTATTGAAACGGATCACAAACCGTTGGTGCCGTTACTAGGATCAAAATGTCTCCAGGACATGCCACCACGTATTCAAAGGTTCCATATGCGACTTATGCGCTAATCGTACCAAATAGTCCATGTACCCGGAAAAGACCTCACCACAGCTGATACCTTATCAAAAGCACCACTTCACCGAAGTCTCACGAAAGACGAGAAGAAACCTAACGAAGATTTAAACCTCTATGTCTCACACATAGTAGAATGCCTGCCCACTACAGGGTGCCGCTTGCAAGAAATACGCCTTCATCAGGACGAAGACGAAGTCTGTTCAAAGCTTAAGCTGTTCTGCAGTGAAGGCTGGCCAGAGAAACATCACTTGAATTGTTCACTCCAACCGTACTTGCAGTACAGGGCAGAAATCACAGTTCAGCAGGGAATTCCCTCAGTGTTAAGACTCGATGTATTAGACAAGGTACACACAGGTCATCAAGGCATCCAGAAATGCCCTGAAAGAGCGAAAGGTGGTGTCTGGTGGACGAATCTCAGCAAGCAGATAGAAGATCTTGTCAGGGCATGCCCTACTTGTATCAAGATGAAAACTAATCGTGCAGAGTCCATGATTCCTACACAGTTACCTGAGCGTCCATTCCAAAAAGTAGGAACCGATCTATTCGAATGGAAAGGACAGGAATTTGTCCTCGTGGTAGATTTCTTCTCGCGGTATTGCGAGATTGGCGTACTTCGAAAAGCCACCTCTCAAGAAGTAATCAATCACCTAAAAGCGATTTTCGCGCGCCATGGAATTCCAGAAACCGTGATCTCCGATAACGGACCGCAGTATTCCTCAGCGGAATTCACCAAATTTGCAGAAAAATGGGGATTCACACACATTACAAGCAGTCCAAAATACCCACAAAGCAACGGAGAAGCTGAACGCATGGTGCAAACAACTAAAAACCTCCTTACAAAATCTGACGATCCGTATGAAGCACTACTCGCTTACAGAGCTACTTCACTGGAAAACGGATTTAGCCCAGCCGAACTATGCGTGGGACGGCAACTACGCACCACCCTTCCAACTACTCCGTCTAAACTAACACCGCAATGGCCAGAGTTAACGACATTGCGTGAAAAGGAAGCCAAGATTAAGACTGAGCAAAGGAAAGAGTACAACTGACGATATGCAGTTAAAGAGCTCACTAATCTGTCGCCAGGCGATCGTGTTTACATACCTGATCGCAAAGAGAACGCGGTAGTAGTATCCAAAACACCACAGCCACGTTCCTACTACCTGGACACTGATAGCAACACAACTGTTAGAAGAAACAGACGTCAACTCAATCCAAATCCTAAAAAAGCAAAGTACACAACGGAAAGCCCTCCACCTGATCCTCCTGAAACTTCCAAGGATCAGCCATCTATTCCGGCAGAGAAGAACGAAGCTTTTCTTTCTGCCCAAAAGTCTTCCATTCCAGTTCCCATTCCTGGAACCACTACTCGTTCCGGAAGAAAGGTCAACCCGCCCAAGAGATTAGGTTTTGATTAGGACTGAATGAACATTTGCTATTAGTTTTATGATCAAATTACTCAATGGACTCGCTTTCCATTACTAGAAGACTTTGCACAGAGACATTCTTACAGTATTGAAATGTCTAGAAAGGGGAATGTGGGATTAGCCCTTAATCCTCTTACCTACCAACCACGCTCGACTTATAAATATCCTGATGCGATTATGCAACAGTTCAGTTGACCTCAAACATTGCTCTTCTGTGTTCCTCTTCCCATTAAATGTATAGCTTTAAATATATACTTGGCCTCCACTCTTTCTTTCGCCTCTGATAATCGCACAGCCATCTGAAAATAATATGAACAAAACAAAAATAACAATACAAACTGGACTTGGATGTGGTATTTAGAAAATAATCCAGTGCCATAAAATCACCCTCTCCCCAGCCCCCCCATATTCCTATGTATAAGCCCAACACAAGCCAGAGTTTTAGTTATATGAAAATTATACCTCTTCCTTCCCCATAACATGTTCAACCCAAAGATATACCCTAGCCCCATCCACCACTGAAGAAGCTTGGACATCCTTACTATTGTAAATTTTGCTTTTGTCATTTTGATTTAAAAAAAAATATATATGTATATATATATATGTATATATGGGATATGATATTTATATTTATGGCAAAAGAAAACGTTTCATAAAGAAGCCTCCCCTCGCCTGGTACGTAATCATCATTCGCCCCCGTATGTAAATCTGGAAAACACCACTTTGTTATCCCACCCAAAAAAGTCATTAATAATCAGGAGAAAAGTGAATTTTTTTGTGAATAAGACCTACCTCCTGGCCCTCCCCTCCTGTTTTTTCACTACTAAGTGATCTCTGTAAGGGTCGAAGATATAATACAGCTTGGCCTACACCGGCGTCATTGTGTAAGAATTTGACATTGTAACCACGGGAGGCGGTGCGATAACCATCAACGTTTTTGGTGATGCTCCACTTCTTAAAAACTCATAACCTCCGGTGTCCTTAAGCTTTGCATAGGACTCCAACAGTTTATTGTTAAATTGAAAAGGATCATCAGGCATGTTGAAAACAACCCTCTTCCTTCCAAGCCCATTTTCTTGTAGGTCGAATTTCTTAGCCCGTGAAGGAATTTCGTTTGTGTCTTTGTCAGCGAGACACATAAATTCGTGTGTCCATGTCTCTCGAGGAGGCATCCATGAGGATCTACCACTCTCATTTCTTTGCCTTTTGGCAGGGCGAGGCCGTGAGGTGGAAATTGGTGAGTTATATGGTGGAAACAGTGATTGAAAATTGGCTACAGAACGCATTCCCATTCTGCCTTCAGATGCTCCACCTTGGTTTGTACTTGGTCTGCTTGCTCCGCTTGGTACCACTATCGCAGTAGTTGCTTGTTGGTTCCTTGTAGGGTTAGGAGAGAGTAGCGACTCTACTCTTGTTAGGAGTTCCACTACTTCACAATATCTTTCATCCGCCACTTTGATCTCTGTCTATTTCTGGCGGGAAACTCAGTAACCAAGCCTAATATGGCCCAAGTGCGAGACTGGATACGAGACACGAGGGAACGGGATTTGCAACACCGAATTTATAGATCACAATTTGCATGCAGACAGAATTTGTTTGTCACAGTTGAGTGCACAAAACCGAGTTTTTAGGCAACAATTTGAAGTTTGCAAGGTAAATGACAAAAGACAAGCATTCAGAATTTGATAACAGAATTGGAATTGAGTGCCGAATTTGTACGTCACAATTTAGAGCACAAAACCGAATTTGTGGACAACAATTTGAAGTTCGCATATGAAATCAAAATAGAATTTAAAGATTAACACCAAATTTGTGGACAACAATTTGAAGTTCGCAAATGAAATGAAATGGAATTTAAGGATTAATTTTGAAGGGGATCACATGCCATACATTATATCCAGACATTCATTTCCTTTTTCAATAGTATTGATAACATTTAGCCTCGCTTTCAATATCAGAGAATACTGAATAGTAGCATTTTGTATGTTTGGACAATTAGGAAAGTCAAAGGTGAGCACTTTACCATTATTTTACAGTCAACCTGATTCCAATCTCCTGCATTAACTTGAAACATTACATTGTACCAAAGTGATTATTTGAAAATGCCAAATGGTATTTGAACATGTGTGGGGACTTAAGAGGAGAAAATATGGGTTTTCTTCTAGGATGCCTGGTATCTGCGGATAAAATAACAAGTATTAACTTAAATACATACATACATACATACATACATACTTTATTTGTCATGTAGGTCAGTACAAGAAGGCAGCTAAAAAGCTGATGTGGACCTACAAATTTAAGTATATCTACAACAATTTAAATATTAATGTTAACAAACTTAAGAATTATTTACAATGAGTAAGAAAAAAAAAACTATAATACCAGTAAGATAATCAACAGTCATTTGACTGTAGTGTTAAAATAAATAAATAAAGGAAAATAATAATAAAAATAGCATTAATATATGTAATTCACAATGTCTTTGTTTATTTCCT